TGCACCATTAAATAATAGATCACACCAGCCTACAAGTGTACCAAAAATATATTCTACAAAGTGATCGCTACAAAAACCAAAAAACATTAATCTCGGAAGGCCTGCCGATATATTGAACATCGTTTATTTTACCAACAAAAACAGCAACACTAGTACAAGATGAAGGACTATTACAAACATATGAAGTATAAACACGGCGAGCATACATGCATCACACTGAAACACTACAGTAAACAAAAACACAAATTAGCAAAACAGATGGAGCAGCTTAAATTTCTATTGCGATGCAAACAATACGGGCTAATGCCAAATTATCTGACAAACTCGATCAAAAATCTAAAAATCAATACAACTTCAGAGAAAATAAGGAAACAGGTGGAAAATTCAAAACGACTATGTCTCACAAAAATATTAAACATCGAGATAACACAAACAAATATAAACATTAAAATAACAAAAGATCTATTATTGCATGCACAACAACAACTAAAAGTCACTTTAAGTAGCTCAGAATTCGACGCGTTCATCAGCAAGCAGAACGCCCAAAGCCAAAAAACTGCGAAGGAAAAAGAATCAATACTCACATCAAAAATTGAGAGTCTTAAACACGAACAGATGCGGAAGCTGGGAATACAAAAGAACAACAATTGGTTCGTGAACAAAACGAACGTCAAATTTCCCGAAGAGGTAAGGTGGCTACTATCACTGGGGAAAAAGTTCACATTACCAACAACAAGGACAAGTTTCTCACCAATACTCACTATAGCAGAAATGGAACAAATAATCATGGGGATAAAAAACGAAAAGGAGAAAGAAACAGCGAGAAATAAGTTGAGCAACAGAATTCTACTGTTCAAGCGGAATATTAAACACAACTCTGCCGAAAAATTCATTTTAGCTGCATTTAACCAAACAAAGGCGTTTCTGAGATCCCACAAAAACATTGTTATAACAGATGCTGACAAGGGCAATAAGACAGTAGCAATGTACGAATCGGAATACATTGAAAAGATAAACAAATTACTAGAAGACAAAAACACATACAAAACTTCAAGAACAGACCCAACGAGCACTCTGCAGAGAAAAAACAATAAAATAGTTGATGAGCTCTACAAAGCCAAACACATAAACAAAAGGGAAAAGCAGCTTCTCACCAGCACCGCAGCTGCAGCGCCAAGGCTATATGGGCTGCCGAAAATTCACAAACCGCAAGTTCCTTTACGCCCCATTGCTTCGTCAGTCATGGTCCCCTGTTACAAGTTATCCAAATATGTCGGAGAAATACTCAAGCCATTGATTTCAGAGAGATACAATGTGAAGAATGCGTTTAATTTGAAAGAGAGATTAACGAATATAAGTGTATGTGATGAAGATGTTTTAGTGTCGTTCGATGTCATCTCCTTGTTTACGAATATACCGACAATGTTAGCCACAAAAATTATTATGAAAAAGTGGGACCAGATACAACGGACAACCAGCATTCCAAAACACAAATTCCAACAAATTCTTGACTTCTGCCTTAAAGATAATAACTACTTCATGTGCAATAACAAACTATACACCCAAACATTTGGAATGCCAATGGGCAACCCCCTCTCACCGACAATTGCCGACATCATTATGGACGACCTTCTGGACAACACCATCTCGGAGCTGAAACAACACTTCAACATTGACATCAAGTTTATCAACAAATATGTAGACGATATTTTTGCAATAACAAACCGCAACGACGTGAATACAATTCTAGAGACGCTAAACAAATACCACCCAAAACTTCAGTTTACCATGGAAATGGAAGAAAACGCGAGCATTCCTTTCCTTGATGTCCGTATACACAAAAACAACAACAATATTGTTCTAAACTGGTACTCGAAACCAACGTCGTCTGGACGCCTGATCAATTATCTCTCCTCCCAACCAAGAAAATATAAAATCAACACCGCGAAAAATCTTATACACAAAATACTGACGATAAGCGACCAAAAATTTCACGAAGCCAACATAGAGAAAATACACAGCATTTTGAAAAGCAACAATTATCCCAATCACCTGATACGCGAACTAATAAAACAAGAAACAATGCGAATAGGAAATCAGCAAAATAAAACGCCGACCACAGCAACAGCAAATACACCAAAGAAGTACTACAGCGTCACTTACATCCCCAAGCTAAGCGAAAACTTTGATCACAGCACATTAAAGGAACAAAACATAACTCTCGCCTACAAAACAAATAACACGTTAGCTAGAATCTACACAAGAACAAAAAGCCCACTAGACATACAGCAACAAAACAACGTTGTTTATGAAATACAATGTAAGGGCAAAGAGAACGAAAACTGTGGTAAAGTGTACATAGGGACAACAAAACGCGCATTAGGTGTTCGTATAGCCGAACATAAAACAGATATAAGGAAACAAAAACACAGCACAGCCCTATCACAGCACATATTAAACAGCGGCCACACAGCTGATTTCACTAACACTAGGATTATTGACAAGGAAAAGAGGGAAATGACGAGATACACTTTGGAAAGCTTAAGAATATTAGAAAAAAGGGAGAATACGATCAACAAAAAAGAAGATACGGACAACATCGCGGCCGCCTACATGTTATGCATATCAAAATAAACAATTTAGTTATGACAAGACTACCATAGAGAGTGGTACTGATTACGTGTATATATATTAATATTAAGTTTAAAGTAAATGTTTAATATTATTGTGAGTATATGTTCTTTGTATTAGTCCATAATTGTTGTCTTTGTTTTTACAAACACATGTATGCCAACTTTTATTATTCATTTGAACATCTTTTGTTTTTTCGTTGTATTTCTTTGTTGGATTTAATAAACATAGTGGCCCCTGATGATGCTGGAAATTTCAGCGAAACGTTGGGCAACGAAGGTGGAATAAGTGTTTTATTTGCACCATTAAATAATAGATCACACCAGCCTACAAGTGTACCAAAAATATATTCTACAAAGTGATCGCTACAAAAACCGAAAAATATTAATTTTCGAAAATTCTATACCATTTCTACGAAAAGTGTTTTTTTTTCAAATAAAATACATGAAGAACTTTGAGCGCTTTGAGCGACCTCTAAATATTTTTTGATTTTTCTTTATAGAACAATCCTATGGGGTGAGAGCATTAAAATTCCGACTTTACTTTTCTGCATGCATTTCGCACCACCCTAATGTACACATATCTGGTTTTCGAGTACATATTTCTGTGTCATAATTTCGTAGAAAGTACATGCTACGAGTCAATTTGTTAATTTCCTCCCTTGCTTACCCAGCTAGCACATTTGCCAGACCATTTCTGATATCAGACAAGTCGGAATAAAAAGTTGACTGTTTATACAAAGTCTTTCAGGTTTCGTGCAGATTTCTGCGGCGAAGTGTTTGGAGAATTTTATTTATTTCCTTATCCGATATGTCTGATCGAATTATGTCCGATTTCGGGCATACATGTCTGATAATTCCTATTTTCCATGATTAATTGGTCAGACATCTGTTAGATATCCGTCAGAATCGTCGGTCAGAATTTCCCACGTCGTGTCGGTTAGACTTCGGGTCAACCTCTCCATACGCTTCACTGACCGATAGCGGCAAAAAACCATACAGATTTCTGACTTTTTTGCCGACGAGTCTGACGGATATCTAACAGATTTCTGGCAATTTTGCTACCGGGGTACTTATCTACTTAACTATGTAGGGAAGAGCATATTACGCGTTTATTATTATATTCTTACACAAGTTTTAACACATAGTAGATAGCACAACGGCATCTTGATTTAATTGTAAATATGTATGTATATAGCTAAGTATACCTGAAAGTTCTTTTGAGTGGAAAAGTTAAGCAAGAAGTGAATGAATACAGAAGTGAATGTTGATTTGTACGAGTACGACGAGTACGATGGCAGTGACAACTTCCGCAACGCATCAAAAAACAAATTGCGTCGGAGCAATAAAATCAGGGGAGCAGTGAGTGGTTGCCTTCCTAACTGCTGGCTGTTGTTGGCTACTGGTTGTTGATTACAGCAGTTGGCGCAACTGATCGGATGTTGTTTGGTTTTGTTTTTTTTTTATAGCGTGTATGTTTACATATATGTATTTTCTTCACTGCTGCAGCATCTCTGATGATTAATGCAACAAGTCCAACAACATTTAAATAAGCGATAACAACAATGGCAGAAAGCGTGAAATTGCTGAAGGCAACTGTCATACCCATGCACCCAGATTGACTCGTTCGCTGTTCATACAAATTTACTAGATATCTTGTGATCTTGAGGGCGTGCCTTGCACCCCTCCTCAGTGTGCAACTGTGCATGTGTGTATGTGGGCCTGCCAGATATTTAACGGCGAGCAATTTGCTACCGCAGCCGTGATAACATTGCTTGCATAAAACTTGCTGTGCGTCGCATAAACGAAAAATAAAAACAAAAAAAAATTGGTACTTTTATCAAGCCGAAGATCAGCAGTAATTGTCAATTGATCAG